CCCCTGTGTTAATACGTCTTACCAGGTTCTGGTGGTACCGATGCTGGACATTGTGCAGTTTTGCAATATCGAGATCATCGCTCCATAATTTCTTCCGTCCAAGGCTGTTCAGTAGGTACAGCCACAGCCTGTATCACCACTACCGTTAATTCAGCCTTGCATGGCGGGGTGTACAGTCCTGTGTCAAGGCACCAGAGGAATATTTATCATCCTGGAAGTAGGTTTTCTCTCTCTCTCTCGCTCTCTCTCTCTCTCTCGCCCTCTCTCCTTCTCTCTTCGACTAGCTCTAGCAATGAAGCCGAATTCATCAGTCGAGCTTGGTCTGCCCTCTTGCATAGTCACCTTGTGTGTGCGTATCATTACCGGTGGTCGTTCTCTTTATCCAACATTAATTTTCCTGGCAAATGACTGCCAATGACAACTGAATATGAAATGAAGCTCCTCTGCTTTCGTTCCTTCTTAATCCATTGCCAGGGTTGTGTTTCAAGTAAATAAAATGATGATCAATACGTAACCTAATGGTATCTGCACAGCACATCATGTCAGTTAACTACTTCAACTAGGAAGCCAATAATAATATTAATTGTTTCTCTGTTCTAAAAAGTATCCATTTGCCTTGGAGAACCCCAGACAAGACCATCAGAGCCAAACGAAAAATGCAGGTGATAGATATGTTTCTCAATGCACCTACTTCAAAGTGCGTGCTTGCGAAATTAGGAGCGTGTTTCACACTTTCAAGGCGCTATATCAACTCGTTGTACATTGTAGATGCTGCTGGACAGCATTCTTGCCATTGCGCCGAAAATGATCGATAAGGTCGAGGTAAGCAGAAGACTGTAGTGTATGACAAAATACTGTGGTATAACATTTGTTATGGTGAAAACTGCAATACATGTACAGAGTGAGACAGTCTTTTGAGATGCAGTACAGTAGTAGCAAACCAATGCCAGCAGAGAATTGTCCTGGCCAATCTGCTGTTTGCCTAGCTCTCCTGCATGCTCGCAAACACTCATACAATTTGTGAATGAAATCGCTGATAACGTTAGAATGCATAATGTACGCACGCACAGCACTCTGACATATTTACATCACTAAAACGTGCAGACATCGTTGAGTAACCTTCAGTCACGTGCAGTGCGAAACTGATATCGCCTGCTTTGACATTGGCAGTTTTTATTCCATTGAGAACTCGAGCAGAGGCGGAGCTTCTATTTTCGAATTGAATGGTCCGGTTCAAAATTGAAGAAGGTCGGAGACTCTTGTCTTAGGCTGACGCCGGCACGCCCATTGTGCACCTAATCAAAGCTCTGTCTGTTGCTAGCATGCTGTCATGATCACAGCGCTACACTACAGCATGCTGTCATGATCACAGCGCTACACTACAGCATGCTGTCATGATCACAGCGCTACACTACAGCAGAGGGTCATGATCAAAACGTGAAGCAACACTGAGTTGACAGGTGACGTGTCTGCTGCATCTGCATCAATGACCTGCAGAGTCCATCGTGGAACGTCTTTACGTGATTATGGCATTGTGATCTGTGTCTGCGCTTTCCACTGCACAAACCTACCGCGGAACATGGAGAGCCCCGATGTACATGTACGGCGAGTGCATAACGCCATTAGCCTTGCACAATGACTTGGTACTGTAGCTGCGCCGTCAAATGGCCATGAAAATATCATGATCTGCTTGGTGTCATTATAGGACTGTTGTTGAACACAGCGCGATACGCGAGGTGGCAGTTTTGACAACGGCATAATGCACACTGCCCTCGTGATGTCTCTTGTCCTTGCCAAACAATTCTTCGTTGCTCGTTGACATTTTCAATGTGGGTTGAGCGTGAATGACTGACCTCTCGCCAATCTCTCCATCTTGATCGTTTCATGTACATGCACATGTCAAGTCCTAAAAAGACTCGACACGTACCAATGTACCCTTGTGTACACAGTGTACGCAACGAGCAGAACAGGCAAGGTTTGGTTCCTTCTCGTCCAGTACATTAAGGCAGTTACTTTCCCAGAGGATGTGTGTCTGGGGAGTGCGGCAACCTGATCGCCTACGCAGTTTTCAGATTTCAGATCACGAACGTGCAAATCGTGTCCAGTCATTCCTGAATAGACCTAGATACTGTAAGCATATTGCTATTGAACTCTTCTGCATGAATAAGATGTATCTAGTGGGGCTTTCGTTTAGTCTTCGTACATGCACATGATATTATTACTCCGTTCACGATCTACACCCAAGTCCATGGGCGGGACAGTATAAAAGGCAAAGATTTCGAGAAGTCAAAGCAGAATTCCCCTCCACTCCTCTTCCTGTGCTTCAGTTCTCGACTCTAAGAAACCTTTCTTCCAAATAATACCAATACTCTTGCCTTTGGTAGAGAAGTTGCGCAACGTTCATACTGCTGTAATCATGAAGGTATCGGAGGTAGCTAGTCTAGTTGTGCTGTTGGTTGTTGTGTTTGGACACAGTGCTCTTGCTGTATGTTCCGGTAGTGACTGTGTTAATCATGAGCTAGGCTCCCAATCCCAGTGTACGGAGGTTACACGTAGAAGAACTAGCGATTGCAGATGGGTAGCTGGACTGGACACCAACGCAGACTACATTATCGAGGGTGGCGATATCGTGGCTTATCAGATCCAGTGGTTCAGCGGTGCTTGGTCCGGCTGGTTTGTCACAGGCGTTAACGACATCGACTGGAAGTACAACACAGTACAACGTTCTTGCGCTGTGCCGTACCTGGCCAACCACATGCGTCGCGTCTGGAGCTACTTCTTCGATCACACGCACAAGTACATCATCTGCAAGCATCGCAGCGACTACACTGGACCCAAGGCACCGTGCGACAGCTGCCCAAGGTTCGTGTATCCGGCATTGAAGCGACCCGCGGCACCTTCTCTCGACGCTGAGCCATAAAGAAACAACCTGGTCTATTGAAGGAGTCTAGTGAAGGAGTCCGTATAACAAGAACTTGAGAGGTGTTATATTCTATCTGCATCATCGCATCTCTAGCTGAAGTCCATTATCTCGTCTCATGTTATGCATACAAATCCATGTATCCTTTACCCCGCTGGTAGTTCAATTTGATCCCTATGATGAGTATCTGCTGTGACCAGTTTGCTGGCTATTTTGCGCCCGAGTTTATTTCAATCTCCTTCATCACCTTGCACCAGTGTCTCATCCTATTATTACTGGGTCATTCACCGAAACGTAGTCATTGCTAGACTTGTTCTCCACATCACTGCCTTACAGACATTCTCACCTTTAGAGCACACGGCAACCTTCACTGTACCAAACTTCCTTATGCTTTCTCTGACTCTTGTCTTTTCTCCATCTCTGGAACGTGCATGGTATTATCATATTGTGCTTTAGCTACTTGTACATGATTGTACACCAGTTGTGATCACGCATGTACATGTATGCATCCAGTTACATGTATACACTTTTTGTCAACGATTTCTCACACTGATATGACAAGGTCGTATTGGACAATAAGCAGGTGTTATGGCAAAGACTCATTTCGATCGTTGTGAGTGTTATAAGCAGTGGGATAGCACTTTTCAGGTGGCTATGAGGATGAGTGTGCCGGCACACCAGGGGATGTGGCGGGGCCCTGGGGTAGTACCCCCCCCCCCCCACGCACAAAACCCCTACACTGACTGTATGTGAATGTGTGCACTGGAGATAAGTAAGAGTACTCCTTGTGCTGGGACTACCCTGGCCCGGGATGATTGCACCATCTCATAATAACAAGAGTATTTGTATTTTGTATTTATGGAGTACATGTACTCTTTGCAATTTAAAGTCAGGGCCTCTAATTTCCTAAAACATGTACTCTTGATAATAATAAGTGCAACCTCAGCTCAAGTTGATAGCCAAGGCCTCGAGCCCGCTGATGCGAGGTGAACAAGGGCCGCAGATTTCCATTGTACAGAACGACTTGCCTCAAGTATGTACATGACTGATATCATCTTCCTATCATACCCTGGTTTCTGATCATTATGTTGCTTTTGCCCATAAAAGAGGCAGTTCAAGACACGTGAAAAAAACAAACACAAAACATGACTGATTGTACTCTTGTTCATATTGAACAGTGCTTCGGGAAGTTCCTAAAGCAAAGCAAGCGAATTGCATCTCTCATTGCTGAGAAAAGCGGCGAACCGTATTCGGTTGTTATGTCATTCATCCGCTGCCGCCTTAGCTTTGCGTTGCTCAGAGCGAGTGTCATGTGCCTGCATGGTAGCCGCTCTGTTTTCGCTGTACATGCACCTGTCTCTTCTTCTGCCTCCCTAGTTGCTGCCGAAGCTGGCACTTCCCGTCATTAATTTTATAGTCTTTAGTTCTTTAATATTATTATTTGCCATGGCGACCCCCGTAAGCCCAAATAGCTGGCAGGGCAGGGTTGGGCCTTTTTTTCTTATACTTCACAGGTGTAGCATTCTATCAGTCATTACGTATGATTTATACAGTGGCAGTAAAAAAATGCAAAAAAATGCACAAAAAAAAGCAAAGCCTTCACATGCATATCATTGGGCCTAGTTCCCGTTTAGAAAACTGTCTAAGACGACCGCTCAAGGGACGTTCAAAATGTGGTCTCTGTTACCAGGTGGTCTCCTTATCCAGGGCCATTTGACTGGAAAATCGGGCTGGCCTTGGTCCTGTTTTCAGTTGTCTTTTAGGACAGGTGGTCGCTTTGATACCGATTTTACGTTGTACAGAGTATTTGGCTTCTATGAAGTCTTCATCATACCCAACTGAACATTCATCATACCCAACTGAACATCCATGTACATGTACGGCAATGCAAACAACGTGAGAGCGAAAGGAGACCGTGTTAGCAACAGCACAATGTGTGGAGTCTTCGAGCTTTTAAAGTATATTTAGCGTCGCACCACACCCAGGCGATTTCGCCTCTTTGAAACATGTGAACGACAGAGAGAGAGAGAGAGAGAGAGAGAGAGAGAGAGAGAGAGAGAGAGAAAAGAAAAAAAGAATAATAGATGATGGCAAATGGACCTCATGGCTATGCAAAATAAATTCAAAATAGCTTCGTAATGTGTGCTTGGTGATGACAGCACATCTTATTCACAGATTTGATATAGAACAGCTTCGAATAATATAATAATTATTGCTGAACACGGACTGTGTACAGTGTTAGCAATAATATTAATATACACTCCTTGAATTTTTAGGTATAGCTTGAGTGCCAGATGATCAGACAAAACAAAAAAAAACAAGTTTAAAGAAAAGGCTATTAGCCGAGGAAAGGGTAGGTGTACGTGCATACCCATACGATTGAGTCCCTTGAAAAAGGTCCCTGCCTTGATTTGCAAGACCGGCACAATGGGTTTCCAATGTTAATGGCAATACTCATACAGTCTCCAGATAAAAAAGACAGCCCTGCATTAGGACTCCAGCAACGTTGTATACGTTCGATGGCTGGCAGCCCCAGGCAGCACGAAGCTAGCATGTAGCCGGGTAGTCACGTGACGCGGGCACGGGCGTACCAACCTCGTGACTATAGGTGCTGACGGGGGGTGCGGATCCGAAAATGGGGAATGGGTTGACGAGCATCGTGACGACGGTGACCGTAGGCTGGTTAGCTGCCAGCGGACGGGTGACGACGATGTGGAACGAACCAGGGCAGGTGAGTGTGGGAGCGGTGAATTCCAGGGTGGCCTTGACAGACGGAGTGTCCACCATCACCAGGCTGCTGCTGGCATAGGAATCGGTCCATGCGCCACACGGGGGAGCTGAGCCATCAGCAACAAACACACATACTACGTGTTGACCCAGAGGGGTACCGCGAGCTGCCACAAGCAACGATGAGTTTGTTCCACCGGATGGCAACAGAACCATGGATGCTCTGACGGGATAGATCGAAACAGGGTCTAGAACAGAAAGTACATGCAACAGAAAAACAGCAAAATTAAGGCATCAAGAGTAACATGATCACGTGAGTATGTGCATGTGTAGGCAGGCATAGTGGGATGGTCTAAGACCATGATTGAGAAACAGAGGGTACCAGCGACCCACAGTTAATTGGGAACTCGTGGCCTGGCACGAGGGTAACATGGATGCAGCTAATGGGATTTCGGTCTTTGACCACTTGGTGGCGGGTCTGATCTACTCATCTCCCACCGTTTAGGCGCTGCATCTGCGCCTTGATCCTAGAGGGTGGTGGCGTTCCTGCGGAAAACTCGGCTTCCAGCCGAGTCTCACGCGACCCGTGAAATTTATTTTATTTATGCTTGAGACGGAAGATTCATGCACAAAATAGTGCTGGAAAAAGGCCTAGGCGAAGCCAAGATTATACATGTATGTTGATGTCCAGGCTCTGTACATTAATCACATTATGTTACTGCTACAGTAAAACCTGTAACTAACGACCAGCCTGCTACTGTACTACCTACAAACCTCTAACCAAAGACGACCTGCTACGGGCGGCCGCTTTTTCTGGCCCCAAGGGGTGGTCGTTAGATACAGGTGTTATTGGACGGCAATACAATCGTGCACTCACAACCCTGGTCGATTTTGATTTGAGCGGTAGCAGTGCCAAGCGGACTACGGGCAGTACAGGTCTGAACTAGACCGGTGTCATAGCGAGTGATATGCTTTGAGGCTGTGTTGAGAGGGCTGATGGTTACCTGAATAGCAACACGCAACAGACCAGGTCAAAGTGAGCTAAGCACACCAGTGTGTAGTACATACACATACCACTAGATACACACCATCGATAAACAATACATGTATGTCCAACGTGCCGCCATCAGGATAAAGTGGGCAAATGGGAAATCAGACACTCCTGCACGGGTAGAATGTATAGATTTCTCAATATTAATTTTGGTGAATTTAGCATCCTGTATACTGGTAATGCTGTGGATAAGAAGACGAGTCTCCGTTTATCTAATGCATCACCCTTTAGTCAAGAGTTTAGTATACGGGTAACTTCTCAATGTACTCGCTTCATTTTGCATTAGCATCAAAACATGGACATGAGCATGACAGGTGTATCTCTAAATGTGCAGTGTTCCGGAAGAGGTTTGGGGAGATTTCGTTTCCTGTATGACAGCCTGACGAGCCTGACGAGCCTACACAAGTATAAAACTTTACTACTATGGTTACTTTGGTAGAAAGTGAAATCCAACAAATCCAACAGTGCCTGCACTTTCACTGCTGTCTGCTATATGAGAGGATGGAACAAACTTCGCATCCGGATACCGTTCCGAATTTTAATGTTGCAGAAGGAGGTGGGCACACACAGGAATATAGCCAAGGTATAGTTGGTACGCACTGTGTTAGCACACAAGACATAAAGAATAGCGTGCGTGCACTCAATCGACATTCTCGGACTAACCACGACTGATCCGCTGGAAGGCTGATAGGCTGCGACGCAGGTGAGGTGAAACACAACTGACAGGGTGGCCGGTGGGATAAATGCGGTCATCTGACCATTGATGGTTTGACGGACCTTAACCCTTTAAGAGCCACAGGAAAATTTCAAAATTCTGCATTTTTTCGTGTTCCTTGGATCATAGCTTCAGTTCTACTCACTCAATCCTCACAATCTAGGGCTTCCTGGAAAGGTCTCCACGAGAGGAAGAGAATGAGGTCGATCATGATAGCCAGTACACCGTCTATCCAGCGCTAGATCGCAGCGACAGTACGAAAAATGCCCCAAATGCGTCCAATTGCGTCCCGCTCCAGATATTTCATTTTACTCGATCGTGGAGTTCCAAATTTTTCGCTGTGTACTCTTGACAATATCAACAGAGAAACCCGTGCAAATTCGAGTAAACCAGCGTGACGAAAAGTCTCAAAATTCTCAACACTAATGTCGTACTGCGCGCTTTTGAAATTGCCGCGATCGCGGCTCAACTTACGAGTGATTTATCTCAGGAACCGTTGCTCGCAGCGTTTCACGGATTGTTTCTCCCGACAGGTGAGAGTTTTCTCTTCGCCCTGGATATTTCGATCACTGGATTTGAGCGAGATTGGACTGAGTTACGATCTTTTGAAGTTTTGCATTTGAATGCGTCGTTTACGACGCATTCAAGTATGGGGCGGCTCTCAAAGGGTTAAGGTCAGAGGAGGTGAAAGTTGGTGGCGTCACTACAGACCAACACGGACAAGAACAAAGAAAATTAATTCAAAACACCAACAAGAACAGTTACAATACGCCTGTGTGGATTCACTGAACGCGTGAGTTAAGAAGGCTGAAGAAAATGTTGAATGGTCTCAGCTGGGTTGACAGCTACATCATAGCTCAGTGGTTAGAGCAGACCTAGCTAGCCTCAAGCGAAGGTACCTGTACCTGGTTTGAGTCCTGGTGGCGACAGTCAATTGCTTCCCAGACTTTCCCCGTTTGCATCTCTCTCAAACCAGTGAATAGTCACCATACAATAGCTGTCATGTATTTGTACATGAACTACATGTCACCGAGATATAACTTCGCAAGTGTGCACAAAGTATCCCACAGTGACAACTGACCTACATATTATAATGCATACGAAGAAGATACAGAAATGCAAAAGAACTGCAGAAAGGGTATCCCCCAACCCCAACCGGGGTACCCCCCCCCCCCCCAACCCCAACCGGGGTGATGACAACCGTATAGCCTGTGGTTGTCACTCTCTGCTAAGAACCGAAATGTAGCCGTCTCCCATCTCGCATTAAAGAATTGCCACCTTACAACTTCCCATGGGAACTCCCTTCATTGTCGACTATATCCTTTAAAAGTATAGAGGACAGAGATAGAGAGATAGAGAGAGGATAGTCATAATATTATATAAACCACAGGCCCAAGCTGAACGTCCTCCGCTGCCATAAACAACAGGCCCTGTAGAAAACTAAGCGAAGAAAGCTTGGTGTCACTACATTCGATGGTCGATACCGAAGTCCGGGAGGGTGTGCAATGCTAGAGATGTTTACGACTAAAACCATGCTCTGGTACTTGCCTTTGCACACAGATGACACAAACTGCGCTTGAGTCATTCCGGAGGGGAAAACCCATTTTCCATCGCCCATGCAGGAAACGTTGGCCGTCACCTCGAAGCCGGGCTGGCAAGTTGGCGTGACGAGGTGATTGGTAGAAAAGGCCATGCGAGCTGGTTTGGTGGTGTCCGGTACTGATCCGTGGTTGACGTCGAATCCAGGGCAAATTCCTGGAGGAAAACAGAAATTTCAGGAATAACTCATCTCAGGAAACAGAAACACTAACACACCCTGTAGACCGATATCTGAAGTGTACAGATCATCTATGAAACTTACAGGAGCGGGGGAATCGTCTCGAAATGTTACATAGAGAGAATCAGAGAGAGAGAGAGAGAGAGAGAGAGAGAGAGAGAGAGAGAGAGAGAGAGAGAGAGAGAGAGAGAGAGAGAGAGAGAGAGAGAGAGAGAGAGAGAGAGAGAGAGAGAGAGAGAGAGAGAGAGAGAGAGAGAGAGAGAGAGAGAGAGAGAGACATAGTGAGAAACAGAGTGTGTAGCTCCTGTATAAAGGTTGACCTTTGAACCCCAATCCAGGTACTTGCCTCTGGCGTAGCAAGCGGTGGACATAAACGTTGGTTTGTCCATCCCAGCCGGGTAAGACCAAGATCCATCGCCTGAACAAGTAGCGTTGTGGCTCACATCATAACCTAAATCGCACGTTGGGCTCACAGCGTATATGGTAGAAGAGGGCATATCATCTGGCTTGCGGGAGTCTGGTACAGAGCCATGACTGATCTTGAAACCAGGGCAGATTACTGTGGGAAACGGCAGAAATGTACAGGAATAAAGCACATCAGGATATGTCAACGCGCCCCTCTGTATCACCATCCGAAGTGGAGAGGAATGAGGGAATAATCTAGAATTGCTATGAGACAGACAGACAGACGCACAGAGAGAAAGAGAGAGAGAGAGAGAGAGAGAGAGAGAGAGAGAGAGAGAGAGAGAGAGAGAGAGAGAGAGAGAGAGAGAGAGAGAGAGAGAGAAAGAGAAAGAGAGAGAGAGAGAGAGAAAGAGAAAGAGAAAGAGAAAGGGAAAGAGAAAGAGAGAGAGAGAGAGAGAGAGAGAGAGAGAGAGAGAGAGAGAGAGAGAGAGAGAGAGAGAGAGAGAGAGAGAGAGAGAGAGAGAGAGAGAGAGAGAGAGAGCGAGAGAGTAGACAAGGATGCATAGGGTCACAGTGAAACTACATCATACAGTGCACATTATACTACCAACCCTGTGATCAAGACTGTATGTCAATCACCACGTCTTGGACACTATACTCTTGGTACACCCAGCCTAGATACTTACCTCGGACGGAACAAGCGGACGAGGCGAACTGCGCTTGATCCATACCGGACGGGAAAGACCAGGATCCGTCGGCCAAACATGAAACATTACCCATTGCGGCGTAGCCTGACTTGCATGTTGGCTTCACGCCGTAATCCACTGACCAAGCCAATCCCGCTGTCTTGCGGCTGTCCGCAACGGAGCCAAAGTTCACATTGAAGCCAGGACACAGCCCTGGCAGAAAACAGAAAATCGCAGAAATCAAGTACTTCAGTAATATATGCCGACATAGTGCCAGGCAGGGAGTAGTACAATACCTACAAGGTGTTGTACTACTCCGGCTCCCTGGTGCCAGACGTGGGCCATCCCCTGATTTCATTTTTAAATTTTTTTTATATAGTTGCCAAACATTTTACGTTTTTCATTCGTCTAAAAAAACACAAAAAACATACCGGTAGCGTCATCTACCCAGTCCATTTCAAAACTATGATTACTACTCCCTGGTACAAAAGTCCATTCAGAATGTTACAGGCTGTAGATCTATGCTTGCTTTCAAGTGAAGTTTTGTCCATGAAAGAAATGAATGGTCCAATGACCTTTTCAAATGAAAAAAAAGAAAAAAGTGTGATCACTTTGTGCATACATTTTTCCAAATTGGGCGTCTGTTATCCAATCGTTTAGAAACTATATGAGAGTAATTGTGGAGCGGTCCTGAGCAATATTCCGAAAACTATTCTCAAAAGGTTCCAGCCAAATTTGAAATATTTCAAAAACCCTACGCGTTTATAGTTTTGAAATGGACTGTAGTAGCAAGAGTACATGTACTCTCAGATCTCGCTTGGGTCCCGCGCCATCCTGAAGAAAATCGTGTTTTTACCGATTTAAAGCCTACATACGTACAATGTATGTGTATGTGTGTTCGCTTATCCGGATACTTTTTGTGGAAAACTGATGTGTGCGGATAAGCGAGGTGTGACTGTAATCAACACAAACCTGGCTATGTAGTGTTGGCAGTACATGTACTTACTGGGGCGATCCATTATACCCTGGCGAATATCACAGCAGCCCTGCGATGGCGTTGCAAGTGCAAGGCACATGATGGCCATGATGGCCAAACGCAACTGCACAGAGAAAGAGTGAGAGCAAAGGTAGCAACACAATACAGCGTCGTCATTCAGGAAAAAACTCAACAGAGTGTCGTTCCGGGTGAAAACAATAGAGGTCTTCTATCGATGTGTCGGACTTAGAATATGATAATGATGACTACTCGATAGACCCTGCTGCCATGTACCAGGCACTCTCTTGTAGTCCATAGATTTTCATGCGAGGTTAGAAAACCTCGTATGGACAGTATACAGGGTAAAAGAATTCATTGAGCTCGATCAGCACCATTGGCAAAGATTCAACACATACTCCTCGGTAGTTTTGCCTAAATATGTACATGTACTGCAGTTGCCATAACATCCCGGGGTGGGGGGGGGAAGGGGGGGGAGGGGGGGAAGGGGGGTATTATGTGGTAAACAATTGAGGTCAACGGAAAGTCAAATCAAGAGGAGTCTTAGAATACTGACTTTACAGTACTGTGCATGTAAAATAAATAATTGCTGATATTCTGCTGGAGATGCCAGTGCCATAGGCATAGCAGTTAACTTTGCAGGAAAATGTAATTTGCGCACCTTAATCCTTTACGTTTTACAAGATTTAGTACAGCTACAGCACAGCTATAGGGTGTAGGGTGTAACTTGACGCAGGCAGATTCCAAATGCAACAGGACTGCATTGCATACATGTAAATGTTACGAGCGTGTCAACAGCCATGGCGGTTATTGTTTTCAACTCCCCCAAAGAACATTAGAATATGGTGATCAGAGAGAAGGATACTAGACTGAGGGGAAATAGATACGACATATGAAAAGAATGCTACATCCATAACTACAGGCCAAGGCTCAAAGGGCAACACGCTACAATACTATATATATTAATATTCCTTTTTATGCTACCGTGGACATGTCTATTTGCCAGGATGCATCAGCATGAAGAATTTGGTTGCTAATTAACTACCACCCTAATTTCATGTTCGCGCTGCTTTGTGAAACTCGGCTACTGTTTGCTTTCATGACGTACTAGTACATACAGAACACCATACACCCATGAATCTTCAAGCCCGTATGCCCGTAAGCTTCCTACAGTGTTGTGCCTCGACAGATCATAAGTAATGGCCGACAACTTTAAATACGGACCATACAAAAATCCCTCATTCTTATTATTATTATTATTATTTTTTCTTATTTTGTTAGGGATTTCCCAACAGGCAATGTTGCCTTTTTACTGGGAACCCTAAATGAGACTTTGTGTGAGCGCGAAACAAAGCAGGCGACTCGGCCAGGCGACAAGATGGAGGCAGCGCATTCCACCTGTCGGCACCAAGATACGCAATGGAATGGAAACCATACCGGGAGTGGCAGGCAGGCAAGACAAGAGCAGCTGTAGCTTGGCCCCGAGTTGTGGCAGCAGAATGTGGGCCAGTGCAGCGGGGAGTGAATAGGAGGCTGAGAAGTGGGCTAGATAAACCATGCAGACAGCGAAAGACAAAGACGTATTGCTTGAAATTTAAGCGTTGCTCTAGTGTGTAGATCTTGGTGTAAGCGTACAGGGTCTCAGTGGGAGTTCTGCGGTCAAGGGCAAATATTCTTTTAAGACTAGTACGGCTGGCTGTGATCAGCTGGTTGTATGAACGGTGAGATAGACAGTTAATGTAGGCAGAGCTAGCATACTCAAGGGTGGATTGAATAATAGATAGATAGAAAAGACGACGCGCTCTGTGGTTAAGGTTCTGCCTGGCATGCTTGTAGGCTCCGACCTTCTGCTTGACGGCAATGCAAACTCGCTCTACTTGAGCATCGAATGCCAAGTGCTCATCCACAATGAGGCCCAGGTATTTGGCTGTGTGCGCAGGATAGAGAGTGGAGTTGCGGCATGATATGGACACAGTGGTGGGTAAGGGACTAGTTGGGCGACGTAGTAGCAGAAATTGTGTCTTATCAGGGTTAAGAACCAGTCCCTTCCCTGTAAGGTAGCTGTCCAGAGCAGCAAGGTCCGCCGTGAGACGCTCCAACACAGTATCACAGTCACTATGCCGGACATAAAATGCAATATCATCGGCATATTCCTGGTCTTGGCTAAACCTAAAACAGGGTGTTATGTCGCGAATGTAGATACAAAACAAGACTGGGCCCAGAACGGAGCCTTGGGGCACTCCTCTGGAGCATGGGCGTGACTGTCCAAGTTCCTGATCAACTCTCACAGTTTGTATTCTGTCAGACAGGTAGCTACAAAACCAATTCAAGGCAACATCTCTGATGCCTGTGTCATGTAGACTCTGGATGAGGGCGGAGTGTGCCACTCTGTCAAAAGCTTTGCTCATGTCAGCGAAGATGACACCACAGTATTCGTTGCTATCCAATGCAGAAAGCCATCTGTTCACAGCTAGAGCCAAGCAGTCTTCGCAAGAGTGGTTGCGACGGTATGCAAATTGAGAGTCTGGTACGTGTTCAATGCCATTATCTGCGAAGAATTTCGTTATCTGGTCCAGTACTATTCTTTCTAATACCTTGGCACATATAGGCAGCAGCGAAACTGGGCGGTAGTTTGCCGCCAGATCAGGGTCTCCAGATTTCATAAGTGGACTTATAATAGCTTGCTTAAAGACGGTGGGGACATTACCAGTTACTTACTTAGCATTCTTTTATTCGCTTCAATGGAATTGGGCTTATTGCCCGTTTGGTATTGCGAATTCAGATAAAACAACAACAACAACAACAACAACAACAACAACAACAACAACAACAACAACAACAACAACAACAACAACAACAACAACAACAACAACAACAACAACAACAAAACGCCTCACAACAGTTTATCAAAACAGTACAATTGATTATAAAACTTACTGAACTGTCGAAACCCATAGCTTGTTCTATTCCTTCTCGCCGACACGATTCCAGAGATTGAGACGCTCCGTTACAACACGATCACCATTGTAAAGACAGACTGGTCAACACACGTCTTTATAATGTTGTCGACTATAGACACGGTCCCGCCACAGCCAGGATTCCAGTCGAAACTGGCGGTTAGGATAATGGAGCCAAAAGGATATATTCGGCAACAGATCACAGATTACCGGGATACCACAAAGGATGGAGCGTTGTCGTTATCCAAAATCCTTTCCGCCAATCCTAGCCGCCAAAAAGGTGGCGAAACCGCTGGTGAGATATACTGGTGAAAACCAGTGAGTAATAATGTTGTACTCCCTGGTGACAATCGCTGCTTCAAGTTTTCAAGCAAGCCAAGGAGTCCCTGATCTGTGATCTGTAAGCTTACTGGTGTCACGCGGTGTAGTAGGCGCGGAGTTGCCTCCCTCCCCGAGGACTTCCCTTCAGCGACGGCGCGACCCAGTACACAATGGGCGCGTAATGTGCTTCTTGTTTCACCAGAGAACAACTACATGGTTGGTCGGTTGTGCTGCTCTGTGGTACAGTCTACTGTATGTAACTCAATACTGGCGAGACGCAGCTTGGTTGTTTGCCACGCAAGCCGCCATGCATCACTGAGATCTATTGCCCGTCGAATGATATTCCGTCGTCGTGACGGTGGTGTGTGAATATAATTATATCGGATTCGCCGGTTCACGTAGATGGTAGGTGCTTCGTTGGATGCGCCTGTTTGGTACCAGAAATGCTGTACTAGTATCCGACTTCCTTCACCTTGTATTATAAGGTATCAGTGATGCAAGGGATGTGAGTAAATTCTCAATGCAACCAGTACCATCAAAATTACAAAAGTGCATGAAGAACTCTTGGTACCATTCCATGCAATGTTCGATTTTTCGAAAACTCGTACAGTCTGGTTGTTTTTTTTTTTTTTTTTTTTTTTTTTTTTTTTTTTGGTTGTACATTCTGAATTTATCCAGCTCCGATTCAACCTTGTCTCCAGTTCCGAAATCCTGGGCATGGACTGCATTGAGAGTTATAGCGCAGAAGTCAGGGAGTCGTATTTTGCAACTCCCTGGTATAAAATACTTCTTATGTTCTCGGGGCGTTGAGGTTGGTGGTGCAGAAACTCTTGAATGCCAAGAAAAATGATCTTGCCCGTGCCTTTCTTGCTTTGGTAAACGGATCTCTGAGGCCAGGTGGGCAGAATCCTGTCCCCAATATCCCCATGAACACCGCGGACAAAATCCTAAAATTATGCGGGCGAATACAGGTCATTTTGCAATCGGCGAGATTATGCGGTCAATGTGCTAGGATAATTTGTCATTATTACACTTCACGCAATGTGAAAAAAATAATTTCGCTTGGATAGAACTTTTGCGTACAGCCAGGTGCACATCTAGATCTAACGACTTTGTCGTACAAACTCAAGGCCGGTTTCGACTTTGGAGTACATTTTTGCCTTCATGTACTATTTTCTTGTACATTTCCATGCCCATGACGCGGGTTTTATACAAAAATTCGAAAACGCGGAAAATTGCGCGTCCGAGGAACCGCCGTTGTCCTGTGTTGGGAGCTGGATGGAGAGAGGCGCTCATTTGTACATGTAGATTCAGAATCAAACGCCTACAAACGAGCGCCTACAGCTACCGTACCCGTAGGAACTGCACGAAACTCTAGCTCGTTTCGTGATACGGTAACGGACCACACTGTCAGCAGGACGTCGACAAGCTCCGACAACAGAGCAACCGCAGTTTCCGATACGACACTAGACTCCGTACCCGTACCAAATGTCTCGAATGTGCACAAGCCAGTAGTCACCGAGAGTGCAGCCGCAGTACTCACCACCACCCTACTTGCAGAGTGCAGAGACGGTCGTCACGGACCACCTCGCACAGCCCGGTCGAGCTCGCCTCCCGGTGCCAGTACTAGCAGTAGCACTGTAGTACCCGTACAGGTGCCGAACTCGCCTGACACCAATGGCAGTGCTGATATCATGATGTCGAACCTGCCAGCCAAGCGCCTGAGCCAGCAGACGCGGAGCGTGCCACCGTGACCTTAGTGGACCTAGTTGACCTACCAGCGAGTGGGGACGTAGATCCACACGATGTCCGACTGCTAGCCACACTCAACATGTCCCAAGCAACAATGGACGTCGCTGATCCTGTTATCCTGGACCTGCCACCCCATCCTCCCCTGCGGGACCCCACACCCGGAATGGGAGATCTGGACGGTCCCACGTTTTCCAACCGGATATCCGAGGCGTACGAGAAGGTAGTTCATTTTGCCCCAAACCTGTTGGACGTACCAATGGGCAGCACGGGCCGAACCTTTATCCGTATGCTGAGTTCACACTTCCACGCCTTTGGTAACAACTCCTCAGGTGCAGCTGACTACGCCCTGAAAACGGCGATGGTAATGCAGCAGTTGATCCTTCAGAAACCTGGCGGGACCGTAGCGGCAGCAGCTCACAAGGTTTGCATCGAGCGCCGCATTGCCTCGTGGGATTCCGGAGACGTACAGGTGCTACTCCAAGAATCCATGACTATCCAAGACCAGATCGTCAAGGCCCGCAGGCGAAACGCACGGCACGAGGGACACACGGTCGACCCGGCACGCAGATTTGCGTCTGACATTGAGCGTGGCAGGCTCTCGGCAGCCACCCGTCAACTCTCCCCCGACATGGGTGGTGGAGTTCTCGATCTTGACGACACCATTGGAGAAACGACCGTGCTTGATGTGCTGCGCAGTAAGCACCCACAGGGCGAGGCAGTCACAGCAGCGGCTCTCCTCCCAGGGCAACCCCCAGCACAGCCCCACCCAGTGCTCTTCACCAAGCTGGACAGGACCGCTGTGCGCCAAGCTGCACTGCATACCACCGGTTCTGCAGGGCCGTCTGGGATGGACGCAGATGGCTGGAGGCGTATGTGCACAGCGTTTGGGGACATTTCAGACGACCTATGTGATGCTCTCGCCAGCTGTGCCCGGCGAATCGCCACTCAGTACGTCAACCCAGCATCGATGGAAGCCTACACGGCGTGCCGGCTTATCCCTCTAGATAAGAAACCGGGTGTGCGCCCAATAGGCATCGGCGAAACCGTCCGTCGTATCATCGGCAAGGCTATTCTGAGCGTGGCGGGGGACTCTGTTCGTGAGGCGACAGGGTCACTGCAGATGTGCGGAGGCCAGGAATGTGGCATTGAGGCGGCCATTCACGCCATGCACGACACGTTCCATGAAGAAGACGTAGACGCTGTGCTAATGGCGGATGCATCCAATGCGTTCAATCGCCTTAACAGAGAAGCATGCATGCGCAACGTAGCGCATCTCCGTCCAGCCATCACACCCGCTATCGTTAACTGCTACCGTCAGCCGGCCCGTCTATTCGTGGACGGGGAGTGCCTCCTATCGCGAGAAGGCACAACTCAGGGAGATCCTCTTGCTATGCCAATGTACGCTTTGGGGGTACTCCCCCTGGTGCGCAGACCCCAGGAACACGCCAGAGCTGGTATGCGGATGACTCGTCCGCGGTTGGCGGGCTCAACCCTCTCCGCCAGTGGTGGGACCGACTCGTCGGGGATGGGCCGGCGTTCGGGTATTTCATTAACCCCAGCAAGTCCGTCCTCGTCGTCAAGCGGGACAAGCTAGAGGCAGCCGAGACCATCTTCGCCGGCACGGGTGTGTCTATCACCACCGACGGGTGCCGTCACCTTGGATCAGCCACCGGAACTGATCAGTTTGTGCAGGAGGTTGTGGCTTCCAAGGTGGCCACCTGGTCGCAGGAGCTGTGCAAGCTGACAGATTTCGCCCGGTCACAGCCTCAAGCAGCTTACTCTGCACTGGTGAACAGCCTCCAACACCGGTGGTCCTTCCTGTGTCGGGTTCTCGATGGTGCTGCAGAACAGCTGGCACCCCTGGAGGACATCATCCACCGCCGCCTAATCCCTGCCATTAGTGGACGGACGGCGCCCAGTGAAGCTGAACGCATTTTGCTCACTTTCCCCTGCCGGCATGGAGGCCTCGGCGTGGCCAACCCTGCCACTTTTGGCTCACAGTACGGCACCTCCAGGCTAATCACCACTGCGCTGTACGACAAAATCATGGCGCAAGAAGAGCACCTCGATGATGCTCTTGCCTGTGTCCGCAGGGCCAAGAGTCAGGCTCGCTCTGAGGCCAGAAAGGCAATGAAGATAGCTGCCGATACGTTCCGCACCGAGCACAGCGAACTCGATCTCGCTATCAGTCTGGCAGAGGAGAAGGGAGCATCAAAGCTCCTGATCTTCATCTGGCGTTGTCTAAATGACTCCACTAGCCTTGCTCTAGCCCAGCTTCTCAAACCAGCAGCATGCAGCGGCAGAAGTACGCGCCATCAGCATGCCAATGGTCTGCTCAGCCAGCCAGCTCGCAGTCGGTGTGGCCAAACGAGATTCGCCACCGCAGGAGCATTGCTGTGGAACAGTTTGCCTAGAGAGGTGCACACCGTATCCAGATTGCAAGATTTTAAGCTAGCCTGCCTTCCTTATGTATGCCTGAAATAGGTTGTGTTTCGTCAGGCTTTGACATGTTCCTTTCTTCTCAGTATTCTCGCTCGCATAGTACTCCACTTCTATGATAATTATAGCAATAAAAACTGCTTTATGGCAGTTTTCTAAAAAACGTTATTGTGTTCTAGTCCATGGACCCCGTCTGAAAAGTAAGAAATTAACGAAATGTGATAGCTGAAAATTCAAATTTCACACAAAACCTCACAATAATCACAACACTTGAAATGCTGCTTTCAACACTAAACTCGTAGTGCAACAACAATTGGCAACATGCATGCATAGGAAAGAGGATCACGAGGTTAAAAGGTCTTCTTCATGTAGCTTTTCATTCTGTGTGTGATTATTGTGAGGTTTTGTGTGAAATTTTAATTTTCAGCTATCACATTTCGTTAATTTCTTACTTTTCAGACGGGGTCCATGGACTAGAACACAATAACGTTTTTTAGAAAACTGCCATAAAGCAGTTTTTATTGCTATAATTTCTTTTGTTTTTTCTGTCACCAATCATATCAATGGAATGCCCTACAACTTGTATATCAATATGTAAATGATGGCCTTCACATCGTATCAATACCG